TACAGAAATAATAAATGAAATTTACAACAATGGTGATAAACCTAAGTAGATCTATTTTCATAGCACTACTTAAAAAGCCATATGAAAATTAATGTTAACTCCATCAGCCTAATGAGCCTAATGAACCATAACAAAATTTGTGCATATCAGAATCAGACTAGAAATAGGACAGGAACAAAGCAGATTTCTTAAAGACACTGGGACATGGAATGGGATATTTATGGTCAGAATGATATCAGAAATAGCAATACAAAGAAAGAAGGATGTGTACATGTATTTTATAGATTACACAAAGGTGGTTGACAAACTATGTCACAAAGACATTTTGGAACTTCTTAGTAACCTTGACAGATTTGGGAAGGATCTTAGAATAACCACAAACAATACTGGCAGCAAATTGCCTGCATATGAATAGAAAATGATTTCAGCAGATATATATAAAAATAGAAATGGGTGTAAGACAAAGATGTGTTTTCTCTCTGGATTTATTCAACCTATACAGCAAGATGATTCTGAGAGAATTAGAAGTTCTATCAGATTCATTATCGATGACCACCATCTTAACAACATAAGATATGCAGATGTCACAGTGTTGATAGCAGACACAGAAAGGAAACTACAAGAACTCCAACAGATGGTAGTGAAAGAAAATAAGAACTAAACATCAATTGCAAGAATGGAATGCATGACTGTTTGTAAAAGTATAAGACCAAAATGCAAATTATAATGGGAGATACCAAAATCAAACAAGTACAAAAATTTAAATATCTGGGAATTGTTTTAACAGTGGATGAAAAGTGCAACACTGAAATCCAAAGAGGCATTGCAATAACCAAATATGTGTTCTAATTGCTGAGCATAGTATTAAAAAACTGAAAAATATTGTTAGAAATGAGTACTGAAAATATTGTTAGAAAAGAGTACTGAACTATTATATAATATTAGTCTTCCTGTATGATAATGAATGCTGGACAATCTCCTCAGTGATGACAAAGAGACTTGAACAGCAGTTTCTACAGAAGGATGCTGAAGATGCCAGGGACCAAACATGTGAGCAACAATGAGGTTTTCAAGAGAATGGAAACAAATAGAAAACTTACACTTAACACCAGGAAGAGAAAGTTGAAATTTCTAGGAAATCACAGGACAGATTGAAGAGGGACAAAAGAAAGCAACAAATAACCTACTTAGTGAGCTTCAGTAAATGTATGGCAGAACAAAGTTTAGGAGAAATAAAAAAAAGACAATATTTATTAAGAGCTATGAAGGACAGGAAATTGTGGCGAGCCATGATCACCTACATTCTGAAGGTACACAGTGCATAAAGAAGATTATGCAAGTAAAAAAAAAACACAAGAGAAAATTAGTAAAATGTCTATTTAAAATAACATACCAATTACTTTTGTTGCAAAGTAATATTCTTGCTTATTTTTTTTACCATGAAAATATTTCACTAACAATATTCTTTAACTGTAGTAGGTTCTGGAAATAAATTGAGAAAATTTTTTTTGTTGTTTTTATTGGCAAAACAGAAAAAATTTGACAAGTTTTCAAATCGACTTTATCTACTATGACAAATCTGTGTGAACAAAAATAAAAAAAGACTGTGACAAATGTGATTGCTCCCTACAGCTTCATAAATACAAAGTAATAAAATCAGAGAAAACATTTTTTGAAACCTGAATTTTCCAAAGAGAAGCTCTGTAAATTAAAAAAATGAAAACACTTTGTTCAGCCTATATCATATTTCTCAGGCTTGGAATATATGTGTAACACATGAAAACATCTTATTATCCATTAATATATGTTCCTTGGGTAATTACTTGTTTTCCCAGAACAGCAATGATAGATTTTACAGGATTATTTACATTGATGTAGATGGCTTCTTCTGGGCTTGCACTCATGACGCATCAAAAAAACATATTATTGGCAGATTGGGAAGTATATATTGATTGAAAGTTCTGCATCTACATCCCTTGAATATTTAAAGGTCTTAACATTCTAAACTTCTACTGGCATGACTGGTGACCAATTCCAGTATGTATAACTGTATCTCCATTATTTTCTGTTGACAACTTGCTGCCCAGAAGACCAGTGAACTGTCTAAATATGAAAAAGTTGATTACTGAAGCCTGATTTTTCAGATTACTTGGATACCTACTCACACCAGAGTTGACACATGTGAATTAAGTATATCTTACAAGGAAGCAATCATTAACTATGTATTAAAATATTCCATTGTTAAGGAGTAAGTTCACTCAGACAGCTTCTTGATGCAGTGTGGCACAGTCTCCCCAGGGGATGCTTCTCTGATCACTACAATCTTAACCTCTTCAATTTTATATTCTCATAATATGCAACCCTTGCTCCCTCCATATATACCCTTAGAACATCCTTATTTAGTAATCCTATAACTTGAGTAGCTCTTCAGCTTTGTAATTGATGAATATAACAAAAAACAAAAACAAATCTGACATATGACAAAAATATAAATTTTTTCTTCCTTAGCCTCCAACTCATTGTATAATAATGATTTGAGTATTTTTCATATCAATATTTTAGCTAATCTTCTAGATGGTGGTTTTCTAGGAGTTTTTATGTTTTTAAAGGATGAAAAAATTCAACAATATCCTATTTATTGGCAAGACAGAAAATATTGACAATTTGTCAAATTAACCTTATCTGCTGCATCAATAGTGTTGAATGCACAGAGACAATATTCAACCCCCACGAGGGTGTCATGTGGCACAAGGCCTTTTTAACGCATTCCTGAGCCATTAGGCTCATCCCATTTGAACCCGTATAAACCTGGGCCAGTTTACCTCCCGGAGACTCCGTCACAGCCTCCTTCTTCCTCTGTTAGGAAGAGAGTTGAACCGGTAGTGTTCAGAGGTGAACGACTACTCAGAATGTGAATGCACAGAGAAGTATCATCCAGAAGATGTCACACTTTTCTTCTGTTAGAATTGATTGTATGGTAGATCAGAAGAGTTTAGTAGAGGCTCTATATTCATCTTAAGGTATCAAAGACAGATGACAAAAGATTGATGTTGCTGTTCTGGGAGACATGCTAAACAGAAAAGAAATAGCCAATATTTTTTGATTGGACACTTCACAGAAACTCAAAAACTGCCTTACTAAGAGAGTCATGTCTACAGAGTAGTTATTAGAAAAGATTGATCTGGAGCATAATGATATTCAAAAATTAAAAACCAACAAGTAGTGTTAATATGTTTAGTATGCAAAGTGGCTCCAATATAACAACCACCAAGTGACCATAAAGGAAGCAGCCATATTGGATTAATAACTTGCATATTAATTCTCATGTGATTCGTTTTTTGTAAATATATTTTGTTTTTTTTTGCTATTTTGCTTGCATCAGATTTTTGTAACTGCTAAAATTTGGATTAACCCAAATTGACAATCACACAGATTTTGATTCTTAACTACCATAAAATGAAAGTTTTTTTTATTTGTTTTTGATTTTGTTATAGCAGCTGTAAAAGGTGATGTAAGCCTTATTTAGAACTCCTGTGAAAAGATAAGAAAAAAGGAAAAATAAATGAAATGGAGGGCCAGAATGAATTACCAACCAAGGACGAGTGAGGGCTTTTGTCTTAACACCTGGAACACCTCATCCTTGTGTATTATCAATTTCATTGGTAAAAGAAGATGGGTAGCTGGTTGTTCTACCCCCAATTGAAAACCACTGAGAAAAAATATGCCTGTCTTTGTGGCTGACAGAATAATATATGCAATAAAATCATTGAGGATTTGGGAATTAAGGTTTTATGGTCCATAAAATCTAAAACACTGTTGTTGACAATTGAAAATTGTCTGGCCCTGACAAAAACAAAACTTAGGAACAAAATATTCAGAGTTGGAAACCAATGCCAGTGGAGGATCAGGTTTACCATATATAAGTCTCTGAGCTATGGATTAGGGAGATTACATTGGTCATGTATTTTCTGAAAAAATCATGACTGGGAGTCTTGGCCATATATGCAGTGTGTGGAAATTTGATCTCATTGGAAAAACTTCAATTCCATTTCCATCTCTTTGATATCAATGGCTTGAAAATACCACTCTTCAATTCAGAGATATGACCAGCATGCTGTTACTGTGGAGAATTTGATCAACTCTCCATTGTCTGAGAAAAGAGACTCATGTAAGATCAGTAGTAATAGGTTCCTTCCTATGGCCTACAAATCTGTAAGATTTCTGTATAGTGGTAAAGTGTAGCCTCATGATTTTTAAATCCATTTCTTGATTTGATAAATTACTTGATTTTGTGTTTTCTCTTAAGCGCAAGTTCTTTCTGCCATTTATAATGAACAAATAGACTCATATAAAAAGTGTTTCCATCAATTTAGTATATGTGTAAATCTGCAACTGTCTATTTGTTTGTTTTATTTTAAACTGGAATTCCCAAATATCATGAAAAAATAACTTTTATAATTATACAAGAATTCAATTGCTTATTGTCAATTAGGATGAATGGAAAATGAAACCACTGAGTGGAATTTGAATTCCAGGCTAGTCTGTTCCCTTTTGCACTAATACTCTTGGCAAGAATGTGTCCTTTCTTCTTACCACCATAGACTGAGACTGGGCATCTCCTATCTAAGAAATGGAAGATTCTGAATTCTAAAATATGGAGAAGACAACAGGAAATCACTCACCTTTCACAAGAATTCATGGCTGTTTACAGATAATAAAGCAAAGGAAAAATGATTGGACATGATGTGCTTTTAAGGATTTACTGAGCATCGCTTAGATGTGGCACAAGTCTGAAAGTATGAGGAACCCAGTGAGGATTGAACTCACCACTCAGTCATAGTTGTTCTAGAGAGAAAAAGCTTGTTAATCATTACACACCATTTCAGCCAACTACAGAAACAAAAAAGTAACCAAACAATGGAATTATTCTTCTTCTTTAAATGCATCTCCACTCACTCTTTGCAATTGACGCAATGAAGAAATTATGGAAAACTACTTACTTTCTCATTGAGGGCGTACAGTTTATTTGTTATGTCACGGCCGAAAATGAGACTCAACACGGTTGCCAAGTAAGGCTCTTTTATCATTAAGTACTCAAGGCTATGCCTTGACCAGAAGATATAACGACACGTGGTATCAGCTACAATGGAGACCTGAAATGAAAAGAAAAAAAAAAATGTATATATATATATATATAGGAAAAGGGACAAAAATATTAAGTTTTGCACATTTCATTATAAAGACATAAATACTATTTTTACATTTTAGTTCTTGAACATTATTCAATTGATGGCATCCAAATAAAGAAAGATAAAGTTATCCAATTAAATTTAACTTAAACTAAATTAGAAGAATTATGTTAAGTAGAGGAAACACTTTGCAATAATTTGCTGCCAGCTCAATCATCAATGGTTTTTTTTATTTTATATTTTTGAGTTTTTGCTAAATAATTATTTGAAGAATTATCCTTGACTTTATTGTTACCATTTTAAAAACAACACAAATAACACACTACAAAAAAATAAATATTTCATAAGTAAATTTAGATTTAGAATTAAAAAAATAATTTAATAAGTGATGTAATGAATATGCATACACCTGGGTTCCCCCTCACAGTAATATAATTGGCTGGTGTCAGCCATAAATACAGACTGATGTAGAGGTACAAGGATGCCTATTGGCTATGCCTATTGCCCACGCCTATTGCCTACCACTACGACGACGACCAGTCCATTATGGTTACCTGCTAGTTTGTCCTACTCGGTTACAGTAGTCCAAAACCACTTTGCTACTTCGAATAAATATATCCCTTTCCTGGACATATCAATAAGTAATGAGTAAATTTTATGAGCAGATTCAATAAATCTCATAAGTTACGAAATACATATTCAAATGAGTATGACGAAATTTTGTATTAAAATATTTTACATAACTTTTCATAGATTTTGGCAGATCTTGAAAAGGCAAAATGTTTTGTAAAATCTACTTTAATTTTAATTTAATCTATCAATATTAAAACACTTTGCAATTTTTTATCCTCATCTGTTGTTTTATTTATGTTTTCATTTAAGTTCAAAATACCCAATAACAAATATGAAACTGAACTTCTGCAAATGAACTTGTAAAGTTAATTAAAGTTAATTACTGAAATGAACAGGTACTGTACTTTAATACAAAGTATATATACAGATTACAAGAAAGAATATTATATTGAGCTAACTTGTTTTTTCTTCTCTAAACTATCATTTGTAATGTAAATAAACAAACCAATTCATTCACTAAATTAAACTTCATTATTGAATTATGTTTATTTGATTTTAATTAAATATGGTAATAAAATAAGCTCATCACATCTCCCCTCTTGCTTGTAACCATTCACTATAATAAAATAAATGTTTTTAGCACTAAAGTCAAATATAGCTTCATAAGCCTCTATTTATAGTTGTTGCTATATTACACTAATATCATCAGGTTTAATATTATCTTAATTTTTAAAACACACAGAAGAAAGAAAAGATTCCTGGTGAAATTAATAGTACTTAAACTTATACAGTGTATATATCATGTAAAAATATAAAACCTATACAGTGTATATATCATGTAAAAATATAAAACTTATACAGTGTATATATCATGTAAAAATATAAAACTTATACAGTGTATATATCATGTAAAAAATATAAAACTTATACAGTGTATATATATCATGTAAAAATATAAAACCTATACAGTGTATATATCATGTAAAAATATAAAACCTATACAGTGTATATATCATGTAAAAATATAAAACTTATACAGTGTATATATCATGTAAAAATATAAAACTTATACAGTGTATATATCATGTAAAAATATAAAACTTATACAGTGTATATATCATGTAAAAAATATAAAACCTATACAGTGTATATATCATGTAAAAATATAAAACTTATACAGTGTATATATCATGTAAAAATATAAAACCTATACAGTGTATATATCATGTAAAAATATAAAACTTATACAGTGTATATATCATGTAAAAATATAAAACCTATACAGTGTATATATCATGTAAAAATATAAAACTTATACAGTGTATATATCATGTAAAAATATAAAACCTATACAGTGTATATATCATGTAAAATATAAAACTTATACAGTGTATATATCATGTAAAAATATAAAACCTATACAGTGTATATATCATGTAAAAATATAAAAACTTATACAGTGTATATATCATGTAAAATATAAAACCTATACAGTGTATATATCATGTAAAAATATAAAACTTATACAGTGTATATATCATGTAAAAATATAAAACTTATACAGTGTATATATCATGTAAAAATATAAAACTTATACAGTGTATATATCATGTAAAAATATAAAAATCAAAATGAACTTTTTATAGAAAAAATATTAGATTGCTCTTGGAACTTAGCAGCTGAAAAGAAACAAAATTCAACCATTAATGAAACAATAAATACTGAAATACATAAAACTTTTCTTAAGTTTGCCATGAAAAGACATGAGTCTTTAAAATGAACAAGAGAAAGAGGTGCTATTCATACCTGGTACTTCTCTTCACCAGAAACACTAGACTCAAATTCTGGAGTATCAATAAACTGTCCCTGGTAAATATGATGCAAAAAGTTTCTGCTACTGTAGACACTCAGCCTGCAAAAAAGAAATCCTTGAATGTACAAACATACAGAAACAAACTGCTGCAGTGTTCATGCAGTAATAGGAAAATTCTGTAATTATATTATATACTTGACTACTCGTAACATGTTGGGTCACTGACGGTTCCACTTATAAAACATTGAAGTTGATTTCAACATTAAAAAATTTGTCTGTTTGAAGAAAGTTGAAATAAAAATACTTACTGTATAAACAACTCATATTTTATATCTTATTCACTTAGGTACCTCCACGAATTGGACATACGTAAATGAATTTTTAAAAATGAAAATGTTTTCCTGAAGTTTTCAATTTATCTTTAAATGAAAGCTAAAGGATTAAATTTACTATACCCGGTAAGCAAAATACTTTGATGTATTTCAGACAGAAATTATATTGATAGGAATAGACCTACATTTTTTTTTCTCAGTAAAATCAATAATGTCAGCCATTTTTTCAACATTTGTAAACAAAACTTAATATTCCTTTTTAAAAATATTACAAAAATAAAATATATATTTCTGAAATATTATTTGAGGAAAATTGGCAAATCTAAAATTAAGTTAATCTGATTTAAAACAAATATTACTTACTTATAGCATAAAATGTTGTATACAAGCATTTCATAACCATGGCATCTTGTTTTTTCTGATGTCTTAATCGATTTATTGATGGCAGATTGACTGCAGAACGTGTTCATAGTTATGTATGGTGTAGCAGACGACAAATTTTATTAGGGTTTTGTTTTTGTCTGTAAGTGGGGGACAATCCTTAAATCACATGTTCTTTTAAGAATATATTTATCAGTTTGTACATCCATACTTCAGAAATTCTGCATCTATATACATATATAAAAACAAATCGAAATTCTTTTAAAAATAGTTGGGGGTCTTCAGATTGTAATAGGCTTTAAAATATATGATTAGTAAATATAGTTTTATTTAACAACAATTTTTCATAAGATTATCTCATTGAATTGAACTTTAAAAGATTCAAAATCTTTATAAATTATTCAATTTTAAATTGTAAAAAATGAAGACAAATCTTGTAAAAATTCATTTTTCATCAAAAATTATTTTCCTTCAGGTAATTTTAATATATATTATTCCTAAAAGCAATTAAAAGCTTTTCTAATTAAATAATGTCTTAGTTTTATTGGGGTTTTTATTTTTTAATTCAGAACAGATTTTCTATAAGATCGGGACTGATTTTGCAAAAAAATTGGTGATTTAAATTCTTCAAAAAATTTTGCATTTAACTATTTTGTTGGTCTTTTTTACAATACATTTAGTAAAATGGCCAGCCATACATTTTATCTGTAGTAGAAGGTATGTTCAAAATATATTTAGTTGAAGCCATATAATTATTCAAATTATTTAGATTTCAGTATTAAATAATGCATAGTGGTTGATATGCTGCAAAACAAAATCAAAGAAATAACTATATATAGATATGCATTATTTATATTTTTACATATACATACTTTGCTAATGTCTAGTTATTTGATTTACTCACCTCTATGCCTATATATATATAGATAGATAGATAATACATTATATTATATAGATATATTTAATATTTTATAGATATGTATATAGATATATAATATATTATATAGATATATATATATAGATAATATATATACAACTTCTGTATATAATATATAATTATGAACTATATACAGTTTGATGACATAAAATAGGTTGTATTACATTTTGATAAGTAATCTAAAGGTCTCACTTTAAAAGAAGAAAATGAAACAGTATTTTACTTAGATTCTTCTTCTTTTATGAGCCATGTTGGCAATCATGGCTTCCAGACATTGGCAATCATGGCTTCCAGACATTGGCAATCATGGCTTCCAGACATTGGCAATCATGGCTCTTCACATATTCCTGTCCTATGTACTCTTAATAAATTTTATCTTTTTCTTATCTCTTCTAAACCTCATCCTGTCATCCATCAAGCTCACTAGCTAGGTTATACAATGCTTTACTCTGTCATTCTTACCTTCTATCTGTCCTGTGAGTATCAAATTTTCCAAGCCCTCTTTCCTAATTATATACCCAAAAAATTTCAACTGTCTCTTCCTGATGTTATTTATAAGAGTTTGTTTTGTTTACGTTTACTCTAAAACTTCATTGTTGCTCAAATGTTTGGTCCCTGGTATTCTCAACATCCTTCTGTAGTACCACATTTCTGTTGCTTGAAGTCTCTTCTTCATCTGTGAGGAGATTGTCCAGTATTTACTGCCATATAAGAGGACTGATATTATGTACCATTTCAGTACTCATTTCTTTGTTCCTAATGAAATTTTCCTGTTTCTTAATACTTTGCTTTGCTTTTGCAAGGCATCTTTAGCTATCCAACTGTAGCTTCAAATTTCAGTTTTGCACTTTCCGTTCTTTGTTAAAATACTTCCCAGATATTTAAATTGTTTCACTTGTTTGATTTTGGCATTACCAATTTGTAATTTACATTTTGGGATGTTCCTTTTACTAACAACCTTGCATTCTATCTTCTTGCAATTGATGTTTCAGCCTTTCTTCTCCCTTTTCTTTCTGTAGGAGTCCTTGTAGTTTCCTTTCTATGTCTACTATTGACACTGTGTCATCTACTTGATGTAAATACTTGTAAATTAGAAATATGTCCCCAAATAATGATAACTCCTCATCTTAGAAATTCAGGCAGGTTATATTATGATTGTAGTATTATAATTATAATCTTTAATCTTGAAACTAATCTACTGACAATAATGAATACAAAATGCATGGTTGTCTGCAAAAGGAACAGCCCAACATGCAAATTACAGATTAGAGATACTGAAATCAAACAGGCGCAACAATTTAGATATCTGTGAAGTGTTTTAACAGAGAATGAAAAGTGCATGATGGAAATCCAAAGACACATTGGGATAGTGAATGATGCCTTCCAAAAGCTTTGCAAAGTATCAAGAAGTAGAAAAATATCATTAGAAACAAAGAAAAGAGCACTGAACTGTTTTGTAATAACAGTCCTCCTATATGGCAGTAAATGCTGGACCATTTCCTCACAGATAAAGAAGAAACTTGAAACAAAAGAAATGTGTTTCTACAGAAGGATGCTGAGAATGCCATAGACTGAACATGTGAGGAAGTTCTAGAGACAATGGCAATAACAGTCCTCCTATATGGCAGTAAATGCTGGACCATTTCCTCACAGATAAAGAAGAAAAACTTCAAACAAAAAAGAAATGTGTTTCTACAGAAGGATGCTGAGAATGCCATAGACTGAACATGTGAGGAAGTTCTAGAGACAATGGCAATAACAGTCCTCCTATATGGCAGTAAATGCTGGACCATTTCCTCACAGATAAAGAAGAAACTTCAAACAAAAGAAATGTGTTTCTACAGAAGGATGCTGAGAATGCCATAGACTGAACATGTGAGGAAGTTCTAGAGACAATGGCAATAACAGTCCTCCTATATGGCAGTAAATGCTGGACCATTTCCTCACAGATAAAGAAGAAACTTCAAACAAAAGAAATGTGTTTCTACAGAAGGATGCTGAGAATGCCATAGACTGAACATGTGAGGAAGTTCTAGAGACAATGGCAACAAAAAGACACTTAGGGTTAACATTAGGATTTATAGCTGAAATTTCTGGGGCACATAATGAAGAAAGATGGCTTGGAAAATCTGATACTAATATGTCAGATTAAAAATAAGTGGGACAGATGAACGCAATACATAACCTACTTTGCAAGCTTGAGTGAATGGATAGTGGAGCAGGTTTTAGGAGAGATGGTAAAAAGATAAAATTTATTAAGAGATCCAAAGGACAGGAAATTGTGGAGAGCCATGATCTCCAAAATCTTGAAGGGACAAGGCACATAGAAGAAGAAGGCCTCCTTTTAGACTATGTAACAGTGGAATAAACAAAATATTAGTAATAGCCACAAATACATTATGAGTAATATATTTTCTAGTACATGCACAAACTTCACCAGTAATGAACAATCAGATAGAGGTTTATATTTTAACAAGAGTCAGATCAGACCAGAAATGTTGTATTGCTGACATATCTGACCTGGAGTTGTCTAGTCCTCATTTGACTGAGTTCTAAAGTGTCTACACAGCTTTGGTGGTGTTGCTGGTGGTGGTTGAGGTGGGGAGTGATGAGTCATTTTCCACTTTACATTTCCTTTCCCACAGATACAACATCCCAAGCCTATCACTACTCTGTTACTACATCCATGGCAAATGTTCCAACAAGCTCCATTCTTTACTGTCAACAGCTAAAACTTTTACTACCAAGACCGACCTTGCTATGTCTACAGGGCCGAATCACTTCTATTCCCTGTGTATTCCTTTCATAAGAAAGGCACTTCACTCTGAAAACTGTTTTCCCAAGATCTGCAACTTTGTGGAACAGACTACCAAATTTTACAATCTTCACTTCTATTATCTATCCTCTATATTCTCATAATCTTTAATTCCATCTCCTTCCTTTTATGTTCATATCACATACCCCATTCCATAACCTACTTTGAGTGGCTCTTGGGCCTTGTATTGAGTGAACATTAGTAAAAAAAAAAAAAAGCATTTTCTCTTGCCAGAATATCATTTACTTGTAATCAACCATAGAAATAAGCAATTCATACTTTTATTTAATAATGTTATCAAACTGCAAGAGTAATGCTGCTGGCAATTTGAATATTCCAAATGGAAGCCCTGAATTAAATCCTTTAAGTGATGTAGTGGAAGTTGTCAAAATAATAAATAAAAAAGTCATATACTGAGTTTGCTAAGCTCTATGGTAAGAATGAATATTGTATAATTGTTCTATTTTTCTATTATCACCATTGTTAATGACTTATTATACCTAAATTTTAAATTAAACTTTATCACAGGTATATAGGCATAATTAATATACAAATTTTAGTATGTATTACATGTCTTAGACCTTATTCCCCACAGAAGAACAACTGTATTAAAAGAATGCATGTATTGTATAATGGTTAACAACTTGGAAAGAGAAATTGGCAAGCTAAATTTGAATTCTAGCCAAGTTCATCACGTTCCCTTTTTCACATATACCCTTGGGAAATGTGTATGAATTCATCTATTCTCCTCCCACCTATGGGTTAAATAGCAGGGCTGATTGAGCTCTCTTGTCTTGAGGAGGCAACTAGACTATGAGAAGGAAAACTCTGATCTCTGAAGAGGGATGGACTCCATTAGGTTATCTTGCTCTAGACACATCACTACTACTACTATAGCTGCAGTACATATATTGTCCCTATGACCCTAATGGCTTAAAGGATTTGTGATGTGATTGTACTCATTCTGCTACAGGAGCCCATAGGCCGATCATGTTTATTCCAGTTTTACATCTTCATAGCTACTTTAAAAATTGTCATTTTAAATCATATCCTTTATCTTTAATGCTGAGGAAGGTGGGACTGTGCAAGTAAATGACTCACAAATGCACCAGTATGAAAATATTAATGCTGATCAAACTAATTATTAAAAAAATATGAAACATTTTTGGAAGTGGAGTGATTAACACTCAATAGAGATTGTACATTTTAGTACAAGTAAAATTTTAACCTTGTCATACCACAAATATCTATAGTAGCTTTTCCAAGTTTCATTCATTCAAATAAATTCCTATACAAACAATATAATTTTACTAATATAAAGAATATAAAAATTGTAACATTAAGCTGTAAAGAAGTAATAACAACTTTAACACAAGTAATGATACAATGAACAAAAGATTGAATTTCATAACGCATATAATACCAAATCTAACAAATTCAATACCAGAGACTAAAAAAGAAGAAAGAATACTTTGATTTTTAATGCTGAATACATTAGTTTTAATTGAGTTCAGCTGTTTTAAATTTATATATATATATAAATATATATATATATATATATATATATATATATAAATATCCAAAAAAAAAATGAACAAAGTGATTGAATTTTATGAAATAGTAATATCATTCTTTTAATAGATAAAAATGTTTGTACAATGTGATTACATTACACATTAGATGGCAAAGATATCTTTATAAATTGATGCAATGCATGAATAAAGAACAAACCTGGCTGAACCTCTAAAATAAAATACAAGATTATTCATAAAATAATATAAATAAAGACAAAAAGAAAACTTATCTTACCAAACGCATTTCATTCTCTGAGGGACTTTATTGAGGCAAATGACAAGACAAAACATATTGGCTAAGATAAGTTTTCCTTTTCTCTTTATTCCTATTGTACTTTTACAGGTATACTCTATAATACAATAATATACAAAATATATTTATTTCATGAAACAAAATGAAAATTACTTTGCAGAATATATTAAATTATATTAAGTAAGTATTATCAAATTCTAATTTCTTCCATAATTCTAAAATCCTAACTTTTTCCATAATACATTGAAAAATAAGTTTAAAAAGTAAATTCTAAGCAGAAATATAGATAATACTCACATTCCTGATATTAATAATCCTAGCTTATCTGTCTTTGTGATTGACTGTGTAGCATAGCACTCTCCTTGGTAAAGAGTCATTAAAGTGCAATATTCAGCATTTGTAAGTTTCTTGAAAATCCCCCTGGCAAAAGAAAAGAGGGCAAACCTTAGATATTAAATGCAAACAGACAAAAGCTGAAATACAACAATAAGAATCTTGTAAGAAGAATACTGAACAACATCATTCATTTTCTAATGACCAAGTCTTTAGCATTAATTATGAAAAGAATTAACAACTATTTATTAATCATAACATCAACAATCTAACATTTTAAAATTATTTAGTAATTATATTTTGCCTTCTTATTCTACATACTGTGTCCTTTCAGGATGCTGGCGATCATAGCTCTCCACAATTTCCTGTCCTTTGTAGCTCTTTGTAAATTTTATTTTGTTTATTTTATTATTTTGTTATATCTCCCAAAACTTTTCTCCATCCTTTTACTCAAACTCACCATGTTGGTTATGCATTGTTTTCCTCTGTCCCCCTTTGAATTATTGTGAATATGAAATTTTCCAATCCCTCTTTCCTCATTATGTATCCAAGAAACTTCAACTATCTCTTCCTGATGCTGAGTATAAATGTCCTTTTTGTTTCCATTTTCTCTGAAACTCTGTTGTTGCTCACATGTTTTCTATGTCTGCTATTAATGCTATTATCTGCATATCTATGTTAAGATTGTGGCCATCAATAATGAATCCTTGTAGGACTGCTAATTCTCTCAGAATTGCCTCACTGTATAGGTTAAATAAATCTGGTGAGAAGATACACCATTGTCTTACACCCTTTTCTATTTTTGTATATTTACTGAATTCATTTTCTATTCATATAGAGGTGGTTTGCTGCCAGTATAAATTCTAAATTATTCTGTTTTTGATCAATTCATTTTTTACAGCTTATCAACCCTTTCCAGGTTATTTAAAGCCCCAAAATATTTTAGATTGTAAGAATTTTTTTTGTGGGGTTGGGAGATAATAATGATTTACTGATATGTCTTAGTAATTAAACTATAGCTGAGGAGAGAAGAGATGGATTCATACCTTTCTCAACAATATAATGAACCTAACAGAAATTAGAACTTGGCTCTCCAATTAAAAATTCCAAACCGTTATCCATTACACCACCCACACATCCAAGCTTACAGCATCTGGCATTCCCAAGCAGCTACCCACTTAGCTACTAACCAGGCTCAAAATTGCTTAACTTCAGTGATCATAAGGGAACTGGTGTTTCAATGTAATGTGGCTGTATGCCATGGACTATTCTAATATCCTTCTCAATATGCCATGGACTATTCTAATATCCTTCTCAATATGCCATGGACTATTCTAATATCCTTCTCAAATATGTCAAAGTTACCTAGCAGTTTAGACATGTATTATTTTAAACACAGTCTCTAAATCCTGGAATATTTTAATTACTACTATTTAATATAGTAATGAATATTCAAATATGAAAGAGTAGATTTTCATATTCTGACATAAATGAAAATCATTTGCTAAAGAAACAATTCCTTTACTAATGAAGCTATATCATCCTTTTATCATATCTACCAGTTTATTTACCTATTTGCACCTAATTTATAAAACAGTTTGGCATTAAATCATCCCCTTATGAGTCTCAACATGTTGTTCACATTTTCTTCCCAGTTAGTTAAACACTAATAGTTTGTTACTTTTTTTTCTTCTGTATGTATTTTAAATGCTTGATATGAGGGAAAATTAATCACTGGCAAATTATGGCGAGTTGTAACTCATGTGAATTCAGCTGCAAAGATATAATTTATCTTCACATCTTGCTAGCCATGTTTGCTGCTTCTATAATTGCAAATATTCTTTACACTTTGATTCAAGATATAAATACATTGACTGTTTCTCTTTTTAGAGTGCTTACAGCCATATCACTTGAAACATTGGTTCTCGTACGTTTGTCGATGTTGAATGTGGTGACCACTTGGGTATACCAATTGCTGTAAACTTGTATGTTCAGGTAGTGTAATGGCTTGGAATTGGAAATTGGAGAGCCAAGTACAAATTCCAGTCAACATTGTTATATTCACTTACATGCAAATATCATTGGGAAAGATATGAATCAACCTCTTTACTCCCCAACTATGGATTAATTAATAGGACTTGTATCAATAAATTATTATCATATCCTCAAATACTTACAATCTAAGAATATTTTGGGGCTTTAAATAACTGTCAAAAGGTTGATAAGCCATAAAAAAAACAGATAAATAAATCAATCTCTTTTTGGTTAGTGCCTATCATAAATGATAATAATATAGCTTTAAATTATGCTATATTTATGGGTAAGAGTGTTCAATATCAGGGATTGTGTGTGTGTGTGTGTGTGTGCATGTGTGTGTGCATGTGTGTGTGGATATATTGGAGAATATGAGTCAAGTGAAAAAGCACAAAGAGGATATATTTTGACGCATGTTATGTGAGTTGGGTTTGGCTTCTTTAGGTCAGAATGAAAGACAAAACTGTGTGTAAGGAAAATACTTTTGGATTTTTTCAGGATGAGAGGAGCAATAAATTAAGTTACCTCATCAGATCTAGCCACTAAAGACCAGAAAGTTTTTGTTTGTTTATTTTTATACATATATTAGAGCCATTGGTGTCTCCATTTTTGTTTCAGATACTATTATACTATTATAAATATGCATACATACATATATATATATATATATATATATATATATATATATATATACACACACACATGGTAGTAACAATAATTTCTCTGACACTAATTTAAATCACCATGGTCAACCAAAAGTAATGAAAATAAATATTTGAAACAAGGGACTGGAATACTGTTTAAGCAGAAAGCAAAAATACTTTCAATTTCAAATTCACAGAAATTATTCAGTCATTCATATGCAGCTATTGTTTTTGATGAGTTTAGGTAGTGTTCAAAACTTTTTATAACCTCAATAGATGACTATATGTATACCTACTGGAAATAAATATTTACAAAACTCTTTGTGAATCAATATTGTTATCTATAAATAGTTATGTAGATAAATATCATTTGAGTTAAAAGATAACTATAATTGTTTCATTAAATTCATTTTAAATATAAATTCTATAAAGTACATAAAAATAATACACAGAAAAAATATTTAAAAAATATGAATATCCTTTCATTTATTTATTAATATTTATTGGTATGGCAATGAACATTAGACAATGTCATGACAGATGAAGAGCCTTCAGTCAACAGATATATGGTTCTATAGAAGGATGATGATAATATCATGGATTTCATCTGAAAATTGTACTGGCTGCTTTGTTGACAGATGCCAAATATTTCTTTGTAGGGTAATAATTAATATTACTGACTGAGCAACAAGGAAGATCTGAGTAAAATAGGAACAGAAATGACATTTTCACTTAGAAGAAGAAAGAGATTGTTGAAATTTTTTGAACACCATAATGAGAAAAGAGAGCTAGAAGAAATGCAACTGAAGACAAGAGGAAAAAAGTGAAACATCAAAACTCACATTGTGAAAATGGATTATAAAACAGTGTATAGTGAAGAGACAAAATATTACTTAGAGCTATAAAGGATAATGGAAATGATAACAGTAATAGTAGCTGTTTCCTTACAAGGAAACATTCAGCATTCATTGACCAAGTAACCAGTACTACCTCCAGCTGAAATTTGTAAAATCTTTCTCTGAAAAAATTCTCAAAAAAAAAGGTTCCCAGTATTGATGGGGGATTCCTTACTAACCTTTTGTGGAATGTCAACATCTTGTTTTTATCATTATTTTTTCTTCAAAATAGAAGTGCTATCCTTTTAACCATTTCTGCTGTTGAAAGTGATGTACTTTTTGTTATTTGGTACAGTTTCTTGTTTGTTATTCTGTAGTGCCAGTCCAAAAGATTCAAGGACCTAGAGATTTCACTCCACTCATAGCCATTTTTAGCCACTGTTCTTAGAAAGTGGGTAGGAAATTGTGAAGAGACATGATTACCCACATCTTGAAGAGACACAACATATAAAAGAAAAATATTTTGTAGTTTTACATGAAACTTTAGTTTATCGCATTTGAGAACTTAAATGTTGCTATCTTTAGGTTGGAGCAATCTTTCCAATTTTCTCTTATAGAGTCAATAGTGGTAGAGTTAGTGATGATAGCAACACAATGATAGAGTAAATGAAACATAATTTGTCAAAAACAGAAACATACATTTTGATTGTCAAAGGTCAGTATAGTGTAATCAAAAGAACATGATGAGACTTATGGTTGAATGGAGGCAAAACATTTACACTAGTCACCTAATTTAAGTAAATGTTATGATTATATGCCTTTTATCATGAAATTGTAATGTAAACCACCAGTTGACCACAGTGATCTGTCAAAGTGTGTGAGCATTAAAATAACATCTCATTTCCATGTGACTGACTGCAACACTCTGGATTATTATATGTGGGGTACAGTTGGGCAAGAGACCAAAAAAACTCCTTGTAACGCAATAATTGAACTTAAGGCATGTATTATCACATCATTCGCCAACTTAAACAATGACACCCTCCAGAAGAGTTGCAGGAGATTCCAAAGTCATCTGGAGGTCATGATTGAAGTTAATGGTAATTTAATTGAATAATTTTACTTTTTAGTATTTCAAGTTATTTTTGTATAATTTTGGTAAGTTTATCTGTTTAAATAAGATGTTGTTGTCATTTTCATTTTTGCATAATTTAGATGACAATTTATCCATCGTACTATGTACGATAGCCATTCACACCAAAAATAAAAAGAATGAACCTGGAATCCTGCATGTGTTAAACTGTAGATATAAAAAAAACACACCTCGCCAACAACAAGCAGTTTGGCTCAACAACTCAGCCTCATCACTTGACTACCAGCCCATTCACACACCTCACCAGTGTTGATTTCTACCCTGAGGATAGATGGATCAACCCCACCAATGATATTCTACCAATAGCCTCAACTAATCCACTCCAGGCCTCTCTCCTGATACCAACTGTGACCTTGCTCAACCAACCCACTACCTGTATTTGGTCATATCAAAAATTCCCTAATCACTTCCATTACCAACTGCAACTAAAGAACTGCTTATCAACAATTTTGCCATATTTTCCCACAGTTATGTATATATTCTAAAATTTTCTCAATACATGCTGTTGAAATTTTAATCCTTGTTTGTTCTTTTCTTTGAAATCATATGAAATTATTAAAATGGAAGATCCTCACCTTCTCAAAATGATTAAATCTCTTAAATTGTTGCTGTGACTAAAATATTTATTGCTAAAAATATGCCATCAAATATAAACATGGATGACCTGCATAAATGCAATTGGTTTTTGTATTTATGATATGTTATTGTATAATAAATTAAGGCAATTTAAATATTTGTCTTTGTTTTTCATTTTATATTTGCTTTGTAGTCAATTGAAAATTGATGTTGGCAATTGATAATTTAATAATGTCAGGATCAACCAAACAATTCTGTTAATTATCATTAAAACTATTTTAATAATTGAAGCATTTAATAAATGAAAGTTATTTTCCACATGAGAGCACATCACAGATGCTTCTTATTAATCATTAAATCTTTGATGATATGAAACTTATTGATATTGTAGAAAATAGATTAAATAACTGAACAAAACTGAATTTAATGTCAAAAGCCTTTTATAAAAATCTTATAGAAACTGCATTCATTTTTATGTAGTTTTGAGAGTGTTCACCACAACCAGTGTTTCAAGGCAGATTGAAACAAATTTCAAATTTACAATGTTGAAAATCCTTTCAAAAATTAAATATAAGAAAGGTCTTGAAATTTAGTATATTCTAGAATTATATAAAAAGTATACCATGATTCTATCTTTAGATATGGCGCTGCTTTTCATTGGATTTTATTTTCTACTAGCTGAATACTTGTCCTATACATAAAGAAAAATAACATTATCAGCAAGACATCTATTTTCTAAGGTTCTTTTCCTCATTATACTGTCTACTTAGATTTCCTCCATTGGGCATAGTTAAAAAGAGCTGACCCTGGAAGGAAGATTTGAATAATTTTCTGTTTTCTTCTTTTTTTTTCTAATCATTTCATTCCAAGCAAGGTAATAATGCAAAGACTTCCTTGGATTGGATGAGAATAGGAAAACTTTAGTGAGAAGAAAGGACCATAAAAAATTAGGATTCAGTAAGACAGAAGGTAGTGTTTGACATTGTATTTAAACTTTTAAAGATTATA